CTCTTGAATTCTTTATTAATTCAATAAAGAAATGAGGAAAAAATCGATTAATTCTTCTTCATTGAAATCTTCATTCAAAAACTCAATGGATTTGTTTGCTTCTTCAATTTGTTGGATTTGTTTGCTTATTCAATTTAATAAAGATACAAAAACATTTTAATGAATCCTTCGTTGAAATCTTCTTCAATAAAGAATTCATTAAACTCTTCTTTATTTTTGAAGAGGAATTTATTAAACACTTTCTTTTTTGAATGTTTTTCTTTCTTAAGCGAATTCTCTTCAATTCTTTCTGTTAAATTCTTCTTCAATTTAATGAAGAAATAAAAACTTTAGGGAACTCTTCTCCACTAAAGAATTCAATTAATTCTACTTCAGTTTAATAAAAAAAATAAGAAATTTTTTCTTTACTAAAATGTTCTCCAATGAAGAATTAAATTGAAGAATTCAATGAATTCTTCAATTTAATAAAGAAATAAAACAACTTTTGAGCATTTCTCCTCAATGAAATCTTCTTTAATAGAATTCATTAAATTATTCTTTAATTTAATAAAGAAATAAAATGCTTTGTGGAATTCTTCGTCACTGAAGAGTTCAATAAATTCTTCCATTTAATAAAAAAAAAAATGGAGAAAAATATCGAATTCTTCATTTAATTCTTCTTCATTTAAGAAAATTCCAACGAAAACNTAAATAATGAATTTTTATTTAAAAATAATTTGCATTTTTATTAAATATTTTATTTTAATTTTTTAAGAATTTTTTGAAATATTTTTGCTTGTATTTGAAACTCATAAGTGTAGTTTAATGTAACAGAAAAAAATTCTTTTTTTAAATATAGAAAAATTACTTATAATTACTAATTAAAAATGAATCTTTCTCTTTTATTATACTAAAATTAAACGAATTATATCATTAAAAATTAATAATAATCAATCATGATGAAAATTACAAGGCATATTGCCCATTTTCCAAGGACGTATTCGCCTAAGATCTATTCAAGAAACACTGTATAATCTGGAAAAAATCTATTCTATCTTGTATTCTTTTGAATTTACTATAATTTTATACATTAATAAATCCTTATAAACTTTATAAAAGTATTTATAAATATTAATTATAATTAATTATGATTAAAATTAGGGCACAATAATTATTTTCTAAGACGTGCTTCTTTGAGATCCACTCAAAAACACACTTTGTAACACGAAAAAATTTATCTTATCTTGTATACTTTTTGAATTTTTTTAAAGATTATATATTAAAATATCTTATAAAAGTGTTTATAAGTGTTAATAATAAATAATTATAATCAAATTTATAAGTTATAATGCCCATTTTTCGAGGGTGTGCTATATTAAACTACATCCAACAGTCACTTTGTAAGATGGAAGAGTCTATTTTATGATGTATATTTTTTACTGTTTTGAGTATTACGCTTTAAGTTATAAAAATTAACAATTATTAATCTCGATAAAAATTACAAGGCATAATTCCCTTTACAAGGGTATACTTTCTTAAGATCTATCCAAAAACTTACTTTGTAACATAGAAAAAGCTACTTTATCATGTATATTTTTTACTGTTTTGAGTATTACGCTTTAAGTTATAAAAATTAACAATTATTAATCTCGATAAAAATTACAAGGCATAATTCCCTTTACAAGGGTATACTTTCTTAAGATCTATCCAAAAACTTACTTTGTAACATAGAAAAAGCTACTTTATCCTGTATGTTTTTTGAATTTATTTCAAGTCATATTAAAAAAATATTTTAAAAATCAATAAATACAATTTTTTTTCTTTTAAAAAAATGCATTTCTAAACAGTAACACCCTGAGAAAGGGGTGCAAAAGAAGCAAACTGATCTGGACCACCAATATGTATTATGCCACAGGGCCCTCCAATATGTAATGTTGTACAGTATAGTACGTATGCTACAGGGCCTCAATATATACTGTATCTACGCCCCAGGCCTACTTTCTAAAAAGAATAATAGTAAAACGTGCAGTACACTTACCTCATACCATATGATATACTCCCATCAGACTTTAAACGTATCATTTTATTTTTTTCGGTGACTTCGTGAAGAAATGAATTTTTATCATTAGCAAAAAATGTATCCGGTACCCAAATTTTTTCGGCAAAATCACCAGATAATGTCAATTCGTAATTTTCCGAACTAAACGATAATCTATCATCCTTCCAATTTTGATTTAAATATAACGTTAAAGTATAATCCTAAGCATGAAAAAAATAAGAGAAAAAAAATGTAAAATGATTATAATTTCACCTAAAAAATATATATATATTTATTTAATACTTTAAATAACTTAAATAGATAAAATTTAAAATAATATACTATAAATACGTAATGTTACATAAATGTTTAACACGTATACTTAGATATAAAAGAAGATAAAACAATAGTAACCATTGTAAAACTATAAAATATAGATGTAACCTGTAGATAAAGGAAAGAAACAGTAAACAAGCAATAAGACCTTTACAAATGGTTCCTTTATTACTAAATTACGTCAAACCAGGTGACCCGTAATGCAGGTTTATAATTCAACGTCTACCATCTTGGCTATTGATTTTCTCGATTCAATCTTTACTATATATATATATATTTTTTTTTTATTTTACACCTCTTTAACTACGTAGAGTTTAGTGATATTCTACTAAACTATTTGCATCCCCTTAACACTAATGTTAAGTTAAGTGTAGAAGAAAATACACTAGACTCACCTCCAAAATTTGGTCTCAGTCTGATGTCGTAACCTTCCAATAACATTTTTAAAATATCTGTTACATTATCGAGCTGGTCAGGATTGGCCGAATATTGAGTGTATCTAAAATCGTAAAAAAAATCAATTAAATATTAATTATACGAATATATATTTAACGGGAAGTTATTCTATGATATATATAGGGATAGAAATGATTAAAAATTTACGTATAAACAATGAATTTTTTATTTTTTCGTTTATTTAACTTACCCCTTTACATCGGTAGTGACGAAGTGCAATATTGAAAATATTGTATATATATACATCATGCAAAGATGTTGTTCTGGTCGCTAGCAACTCTAGCGACATCATTCCTCCCTCTATCAGAGACGGAGGAAGGCAGGCAAGTGTGTCAAATGAAAGATGTGAGCATGCGCAATTGCTTACCTGGGGAAACTTCCTGATGGTTGAGCTCATATCCTTGAACGGGGATGCTGAAGAATGATTTCGATTTTCGTCAATGACCGCTCTCTCGTGCTTAATTATTATATATCAAATGAGAATTTTACGTATCTCTGATTTGTTTAGGGATTCTTTTTTATTTTTATTTTTTTACTTCATAAAAGTGATTTTTATACAGGGAATTTTATTAGAATAAACTCGTATAGATCTAATTTCCACTTAGGAATTTTTGTTTTATTTAAGTGATTTATGCAACGATTTATGTATCTAATTTCTACGTTAAATCCTTGCTTCGTGTATCCGATCTTTACAAGTAATTTTTTTTTTATTTTTTTTTAATATTTGATTTATACGGGAAATACGTGCTGTTATATAATCGATTAATACAACGAATTTTTGGATTTAAATAGATGGTTTCTACAGGAAATCCTTGATTTACATAATTGATTTATAGGAGAAATTAATACTGTAAACAATTTATACAAGAAATGTTTATACTAATACTTATAAAACGAATATTTACTTTATATTAATATTATATACGTAAACGAATCGTATAAAGTAAAAGTCTTATAAGAAAAAGAATTAATTACAATAGAAATTATTTTTATACAGATATTAATATTTTATTTTATAATAATGAATAATTTATATATTTTACTAAAAATAATAGACTATCTTCTAGCACATTTGTGCTATTTTATACACTCAACACATTAATTTTCCATTAAAGCGAATTTCCATTAAAGGGAATTTTTTTTAAATTGCATTCTTAGAATTTTATGTTATAAAAATTATATTTTATTTATTTTAAATAATTATCTTATTTATAACTATATTTAATTTTAGATATAATGTAAGAATAGTGTTAATTTATAGTAGTAGAATATACTTAGAAGTCTTGTTGCCTATACCATGAAGGGTATGTGACTATCAGTTTCGTATACTATACTGTATAACAGAGGGAAAGTATGGCGATCTATCAACAAATGACTCCAAGATTTTTAAATTTTTGGACTCGGGGACCTTGAAACGTCGAGAAATTCAAAACAAGTTGGGGTTTTTTTTCTGTATGTATGGATATTAGTGTGTGGGGAGCACGATTTTGTTCACACAATTTGAAGCTTAATAACTCCTGTACTGTTCGTCGAAAATTTCTAAAAATTTTCAGGTAGATTGGTATAGTAGGAAGAAACGTTTCCAGAAATTTTTATAAAAATCGGGCTATTGGTTCGTGAGATATGGCCCTATTTCCTTAAAATCTCCCGAAACAATCTGAAGATTTAAAGGAGAAGGTAGCAATTATTAAGGATGAAAACAAATAAAGAATGCCTGAAAAGTCTAGCTAAAACGTTTCCAACTTTTATTTTCTAGTTATTATAAAGTTTTAATCACTATACTGTATAAATTTTATATAATATATAGTATATGTGATAGAATAGTTTCTATACCTAATACCATTAACTTAATAGCATCGTTATACTAAGATTATGGCTAAGAAAATTAAAAATTTTATTAAATGTTTTGGAAAAGTCATTCGAAAAAAGCTTTTCAATAACATTCACTTACTTCTAAAAAAAGAGATATTGCTTTTCCTGTTGAGTAATAATATCAATTTTTCTGACTCACCAATATTTTTCCAATATGGAAAAACTTCTTCCATACTTTAAAACTACTTTTAAAAAAATTATGATAATTTTTTTATTATAAAAAAACACTCTTAAATTGGCTCACAATTTATATACTATAAATAAAAGAATTAATATTGATTAATCTTTAATTTAAATAATTAAATAAACCTCGTTTAAGTTAAAAGGTATCTAAGTTAAGATGAAATATTTCGTTAAATATTTTATAATTTAACGAAATTTTAATACATATTTAATTTATAAAATTAAATATTATATCGATAATAAATTTATAATTTTTATAGAAATTTTATGTTTAATTTTTTAGATTATTGTGAGGATTTTCTTAAAAATTTTACATTAATCTTTTATTGTTACTGTAATAACATTATGTTAAAAAAAGGTACGGTATATAAATGAAATTAACTCAAAAATTCGAAAAAAATTACCTCTAAATAGCTCAAAAAAAGTAACATTTTGTAAATTTTTTGAATATTTATCTAAAAAGGCGAAAAAAATATTTTAAAAAATCTCAGTTGGTATACAAAGTAAAATTTCTTTACATTTTTTTTGAGTATTTAGCTTAAAAAAAAATTATAAAAACTGCATTTATAAAAACGCAAAAACAAAGGCAATTTTTTTAAACATTTATCTTAAAAAATTGCATAATATCAAGTGAATAAAAAAACGCAAAAAAAAGTCAAAAAATCTCACCTGTGATATATACAAAAAGTAAAATTCCTTCAAACATTTTGTATATTTAACTTTAAAAAAAAATTATGAAAAATCGCATTTCCACGAAAGAAAACTCAAAAATTATTACATTAAAAAAAATTAAAGTTATTCTTTAAAGTTATTTTGAATATTTATCTTTTAAAAAAAGACCATTAAAGCAAGATCGATCTATTTTCATTGTTAACACAACTAAATTTGTATTTTATTTTCTAAAAAATTAAATAAATAAATATAAAATTGACTTTTAAATTGCATTTAGATTAATATTCACACCCTGCACTTTTCTTTTATTTAAAAAAATATATATAATTCTTGATTCGATAAGTCATATTACATTATGTAATATTAATAATTTATTTAAAGAAACCCATCAAAATTTAAAGATTATTAATTTTTTTTTACATGTTACACAGGTATTAAACATACAGAATTTGTATCATTACTAAATACATCACATGGTGGCGCTAATGTAGTCCTGTACAAATTCTCTGTTATGGCGTGAGCATTGCCAAGCTTGTAAAAAAATTTTTTTGTCAAAAGTTTTGACACGTGTTTAATGAAGATTTTCTAATTTATTTTTTAAATTTTCGCTGGTTTTTTAAAATTAATTTTAAACGTTAAAATGCTCCAATATGATCTATCATATCTTACGTGTTATGTGCTCAGGATATCGAACGTTTTCTAGTAATTTCAATATAATAATATTTTACTGTCTGCTTACTGTAATGTTAGAAAATCAAAGGAATATTATCACCCTCGCTATAGGAATCAACTCTACTTCAAAGTGAGTTTATTTAGATTTGTTTTTTTTTGTGTTTGTTTGTTTATAACAATTAAATCGCTATGCGATTCTTTATATCAATAACTTATTGTTTTATTGTTAGAATGTCGTGTCGAATGTTTATATAATTTTGTGGTTTAATATGATATTAATTATAATTAGAGTGTAATCATTATAATGATAATGAATCAGTGTTCTTGTAATGCTTAAGAGTATGATCTTATGTGTTTTATTTGTATGNATATCAATAACTTATTGTTTTATTGTTAGAATGTCGTGTCGAATTTTTATATAATATTACTTATTATATTAATTATAATTAGAGTGTAATCATTATAATGATAATGAATCAGTGTTCTTGTAATGCTTAAGAGTATGATCTTATGTGTTTTATTTGTATGTTTATTCGTTTATCTTACATCTACTGCTTACTCTACTTCCTTACTTCTAAACGTTTAGTCTTTCTTCTTTACCTTTAGCGCTTACTCCACTTCCTTACTTTTAGTGCTTATTTCACTTCCTCACTTCTGGTGCTTATTCTACTTCCTTACTTCTGGTGCTACTCCATTTCCTTACTTTTAGTACATTATTTCCTTATTCCATTTCCTTACTTTCTTGCTTACTTTACTTCTAACGGTTACTGCACTTCCTTACTTATAACGTTTACTCTATTTCCTTACCTCTAGAGCTTACTTTACTTTTACTCTATTTCCTTACCTCTAGAGCTTACTTTACTTCCTTACTTATAACGTTTACTGTATTTCCTTACCTCTAGAGCTTACTTTACTTTCTTACTTATAACGTTTACTGTATTTCCTTACCTCTATAGCTTACTTTACTTCCTTACTTTTAATGCTTACACTATTTACCTTACTGCTAATATTCTCTATCTGTTTATCCATACTTCTAACCCTTACTCTCCTTACTCTTACTTTTAATGCTTACTACATTTATTCTTCTTTTTAATAATTATTCTACTTGACTAACACTTATTTACTTTTAAAACGTTTCAATAGTCTAGTTATAGCAGAGTTTTTAGTGGTTTATGGCAAGTTCCTCATTCCTAATAAATTACAGCTGTGTAAGCTTCTTTCTTGTGATTCTTTATAGAAAATCCCTTATTTCTGATACTTTAAAGTAGCCCTTTATTTCTAATAAGGCCATGGTAAGCTTCTTACTTTTATAACGTGACTTTAAAATAATTTCTTATACTCATGAATTCGAGAAAATAGAGAGGAAGTAAATCTTTTTATTGAATGAATTTATCATTTCTACAATCCATCATCATAAATTTTTACAAGAAAAAAAAATTAGAATGTAACATTGATGATGGAAGAGCTATTGATAGAAAGAAAGTCTTTCGTTTCTACACTCTGTCTCGTGCCCCAGATAACACGTGATACAGTAAAACTTGTGTAAGACGGAATGACGCGGTGAAAAATATTTTTTCCGGTTTGGCAAGTTTACTTTTTAAAACAGGTTTTTAAATCAGAAAATCGCTCCTTTCCAAAGAATTTTTTCCGTTTAGGAAGGTTTCCGTTTTAGACAAGTTTTACTATACTTATTTGTTTGTAACAACATCCGATAGAGCTATTACTTACTAACATAGCAATTTTTATTGGAGAATTTCAAATATTTTACATTATTCTCGATTGTAAATTCATGTTATTGTTCAATTGTCATGTCATAAATTATATTGTCGAGTGAGTTACAGACAGACAGTCTGTAAATCATTCTACAATATAACTTATCGTCTGTGCTGTTTGATTCACTGTTTTGATACGTTATTTTGGATGAAATCTTCCATAAACATTAGAATTTTTAGGAATTTAACAGATAAAAATCAGCTTATATTTTCTAAAAAAAAATCATTAATACCTATTTTAAAATCTGTTTAACAATTTATATTTTTATAAATTATATTATTATATTAATATACAGTATTTATATTTATTAATACAATATTAATATTTATTAACGAATATATGTTTCTATAATTTGCCAAGAATATATATACTATATTGATACTGTATATAAAAATATAAGGTTAATAATATTTTTATAAATAGATAATTTATAAAATAATTTAATAAAAGGCGATTAAAATTAGTTTTTGATTTTGTTAATAGGAAGCAATTGTAATGAGGTTAATATATGATAATTTTCCTATCTAATAATAATATATTATGCAGGATAATGATAAGAGATGAAATTTTATTATACAGTGTAATCAAAAAGAATGATTATTTTGTATAGGATGATCAGAAGAATGATTTGTCTTGTATAGGGTGATAAAAAAAGCTTAAATGTCTTATGTTATCAAAAAGATAACCTGTATTATACAGGAGTCAAATAGAGCGACCTGTAAGTCCTGTATTATACATTGGATCAAAAAGAGCGTCCTGCANGTATCGAAAAAAAGTGGAAAAAATACATCTAAAAAAACTTGAAAACTTCAATTCTTTTATTTTTATTATTTTAATATTTGAAAGACATTTTTATTAAATCGAAGAAAGCGTATACTTTTCAACACTTTAATAAAATAGGAGCTTACATGCGTATGTGTTTCTGTGTGTTATATATATAACTCACTTAACACAGAATATATAAGTAAAAAAAAAAAAATAGGTAAGACACGAAAATTACCAATCAGTTTAAGTGCCGATCAACCTTTCTTATTAATCAGCTTATGAATTTCGTATGAATATTACATAATTTTAATAGCTTTTATGCATTACAAACGATAACTGCAGCTGATACTATCAAATGGAAATTCTCCGTTACTTGCTTTTAATTTTTAGTGTTTTTTAGACAATAATATCTCATTTTATGTATAGAAAATATTAATAATAAGATGAAAAACATAACGAATTGACATATCTTGATATATAAGAAGGGCGTATGCCGAATTTCGTAAGCAAAGTTCTGGTAATCTTCAACGAGTGGGTTGACCCTAGAAAAATGGTTGAAAAGAAACGATTTAGATAATGATTGTTGATAAAATAATATATTACAATTAAATTGATTTTTATGTTATTAAAAATTGAAAAATTTTATATTCTTTACTTTGTAAAAAATTCAAATGTCATTAAATTCTTTAGCATTAAACATCTAAAATATTCAATTGTAAATGCATGGTATCGATTGTAAAAATGCGGTATTTTTCTCCGATCTTTTCCGTTTCTACTTGATAAATAAGTAAAAAAGTAAGTAAAAATACTAAAATCTAAGCAAAAAATCTAAAAGAAAAGTAGAAGGAAAATAAAAAGGAATCGTTCCTTTGATGAGAAAGTAAGTGATTTAGTGTTTTTACGTTAGTTCTTTCATGAATAACAAATGAAAGAATAAGGAATGTGGTTAAACTTAACTGTAAATTTACTTTAAATGTAAACAAATAAATACATCTTTAAAAAAAGTCACGCATTTAATTATAAACAAATCCAGCTACGAGTTGCGTAACTTTCCCAGACAAACTTTAAAATTGTTTATGGCGCCATCTGTTATGAAATTTTATTATACAGTGTAATCAAAAAGAATGATTATTTTGTATAGGATGATCAGAAGAATGATTTGTCTTGTATAGGATGATAAAAAAAGCTTAAATGTCTTATGTTATCAAAAAGATAACCTGTATTATACAGGAGTCAAATAGAGCGACCTGTAAGTCCTGTATTATACATTGGATCAAAAAGAGCGTCCTGCATTATACAGCAAAAGACTAGCTTATAGTATGTTGAAGAATCAAAAAGGATTATTTAAATTATAGAGGAAAATCATAGTGCAGCTAACTTGTATCGTTTGTAATATGACTTTTTGATCACCGTGCAGTGTATATAATTCCATAATAAAACAATTCTTTGTATATTTTATATTAAGTGACGTTTATAGATCAACAATAGAACAACGGAACTTTTAAAACGAAAAAGCTTAATTATATACCAACGGAACAGTTAGTTGGATTACTCAATAATTATTTGTGACAGTTGAAACGTGTCACGTAAGTCCCAATGGAGTATGTCTATACACCAGAATGTCCCAAATTTGGAGAGAGGTTTCTCCTCCTCTATTGAAGATTCAGTTCTTGATTCTTACTAAAGGTATAACCTATGTAATTTTAAAATGAAGAGTTGTCTTGAACGGAAGTATTGTACCTTCTTGTGACAAAAATTTCCAATAAAGTTCCTTTTAAAGTTTTGGTTTGCTTTAATAAAATATTAATAAAAGGTAAATATTTCAGACCCAAGTATACTTTTCCACTACAGTAAGTTACTTTTCATAAATGTACTTTTATATTTAAGTAACTTTACATATGCTGCATACATTTAAAGTTTAGTAATAATATATGTATACAATATTAATTGAAAGAGGATTTGAGTCTGTAAGATTTATTTTGAGTAAACAGCTGGGGCCAATAATACAATTTAGTATTAAATTAAAGCTATTGATGTATACATGATGTCGTTAAAGAGAGATTTGAAAAAGGTGCAATAATCTTTAAGGTAAAGACAGGAATTAAATTGAATTGGATCTAAACCGAGATTACATTAAAACCTGTGTAAACCGGAATTACAAGGTGTAAACTATTTATTTCCGTTTAGGCAGGTTTCCATTTTGGACAGATTTTACTGTATATTATAAGAATTAATCTAAATAGCTNGATGAATAGAATCGTATTCCCTACAAACACTAACTTCCATACATACGATGTTTCAAGTTCCCCTGAGTCCAAAAATGTAAAAATCTTATAGGAAGGGGTAGTTTTTGGATCGGTTTTTCCATTATAGCCAGCAAAGTAATATAATTACTTAAATATACTAAATAAATTTAAAATTTTAACTAAAAAAAACCCCAAAAATTTAATAGTATTGTCCGTATTGTTAATGATTTAAATTTAATTTTATGACAATTAAAGATAATTAATAATTTTAATGAATAAATGTTATTTTAAACGAAATTTTTATTGTGTTTATTTCTAGTCAAATTAAAGAAGCGAGTAAAATTATGTATGATACTTCGATTCTCCTTGATAATCTTTTATCAGAAAGGAATTACAATAGACACGTTAGACCCGGATTTGGTGGTGAGTATTTTTAATACTGTACTATATTCATGAACATTTCTGGTTATTTTATAGTATAATTTCTAGTATTTTCATATGTTTATTGAATATTTTCTATAAATAGTACTTTAAAAAATGCATTATTTTAATCTAGTTTAGCAGAAATTCTGGTGTAGAATAGACCAATCTATATTAGAATTAATTTTTGTACTGTTGAGGTAGTATTTCTTACTAAAATTTCACTTCGAAATATACTAGAAATTCTAGAATAACACAGTAGGATATTTTTAGATTGTATTGTTTGTATTACTTTAAGCATTTTTCGATATTTTTCAAATGTTAGAAAAAAACTAAAGGAAAAAATAACACTAGCAATATTTAGTGCTATATTTGCTAATTTTTCCAGTACTTTAATAGTAATATTTAGTGCTATTTTTTCTATCATTTTAATACCCTTATAGCATCGATCATACGAATCCAATGAGCTCAGATACGATTTTCATACTAGCCAATGCAATAAATAAGTGGAAAATTCTATAAGTTAATTTGAATAAAAGCACTTATTGATAAAGAATAAAAAAAAATAGAGAGTAAGTAAGTAACACGATATTAAATTAAGATAAGTTTTAATGATACAAATGGATTAATGCCAAATCATAAAAGCGAACATGCACACGCGGTTTATATTGCAACAAGGCAAAATGGTAAGTCATGTGTCAACTTGGACAAATTAATGGATATGTTAGAGAAAGGTTGCGTTTGACCGACTTCCTATCTTTTTGATGACAGAAAATTGATTGTAGTGAAATTTTTAGCATTCAATTTATCATTGGTGCAATTTTACTTCCCTTTTATTCACTCGATTACTAGAGTAAAGTACGAGAGAAATGATACAAAACACGCAAATTCATAGAAAAATAAAGGATAAATCTATTCGCTTTTCCTTTTACTGGAAATTTGTAAAGATTTTCTTTATAATAAATGNAAAATAAATCGTGTTTTAAAAAATACTTTAGTTTTTTTAATAACCCCGAGTTAATTTTAAATCACAGGAGTGGTAACTCAGCATATTAACCGCGTATTTCGTCGTGTACAAACTTTCATTAATATAAACAACATTTTCGGAATTTTAATTTAGGGTTTCCTACTCCTTCATGAAAAAGAGAATAATGCTGTCAAAACTATAGAAGAAGAAGAAAATTTAAAGGAAATACGCATGGATACTGTCACAGCTACATGGAAAAAAGTAAGATTTGGCTTTAAATTTAAGTTTTTCAATGATAATAATAACTTTTGCGATTTGTTTAATTCGATAATTTCAATCTACTGTACACATAACTTAATTAGAAGCATTTTCACCGAAAATGATCGATCGTCGCTAGTTGTTGTTTTTTTTAATTTATATATTTTTAAATTAATAAAAATATAAATGTTAATTCTTAGAAGCAACTTCTAATAAAACACACTTTCCTTTGCCTTACACAATCGTAATGTTTTATATATTTAAATTTTTTGGGGGGCAACTTTATTAATTATTTCGAATTTTTTAAAAATTGTATAAATATTTATCAACTTTATAAAATTTTAATAATATTTTTATTAATTTATAAACCTAAAAATAATTTTTTTTCGATAATTTTCTTTACTTAATGAAGCTTAACATTTGCGAAATGTGATACAATTTCTATAATATTTTTTGAATTTTTTCCATAAAAACACTAAAAAATTATTATTTTATAAATTTATAAGATTTTATTAAATATAATTCTTATAAATTTACATTTATATTAAAATAAAAATTCTTTCAATTTTTACTAAAATAGGCCCTCCAACGATTGTCCATACTGACATTGAAATTAGAAGTTTTGGTCATATATCTGAGAAGAATATGGTAAGTTTATCGAATTTTTCTACAAAAATTAATACTTTTTAAAATTAAAAATAGATTCAAGATGGTTTCAATTTATTTAGATGATAAATTTATATTAAATAATTGAAAATATTACTTCGTACAATAAATTATTCTGTATTATTAATTGCTTTCAACATACATGTTACATTCATCATTACTGAATTAATTTATTATATATAATATATATCACTTTATAATTATATCGTTATGCTGGAAAATTCTCTAAATGGCATTAATGCATGATGCAAACTAAATCAAACATTCATCAATTTTGCACATAAATGATAGCTTTAGTGCAGTATCGAATGCCTAAAAAATTCATCAGCGAGTTGCGTATCTTTTCCGGCAAAAAAGTTAAAGTGATATGTGGCTCCATCTATAACGAGATTTTATTTTATATTATTTATTATTATAAAATGGCAAAAAGCTTAATTTTGAAGGTAGAGATGAGTTTTATAAACGAATAGAAACTTTATTAAGTCCAACCACCACTCGAGATGTGACACATGACCCCTCTATATTGCCAACCCCTCGACCTTTGCCCACCAAAATTTAATAGCATTAATGCCCCTAATACACGAACTTACCTGCACAATTTCAAAAATTTTCGACTAAAGGCTGAGTTACTAAGCTTTGAATTGGGGGAACACAATCGTGTCCCCACACACGTACACACACTAACATCCATACATACACAAAAAAATCCCCAAAATTTCCTGTATTTTTCGACGTTTCAAGATCTACTGAGTCAAAAAATTTAAAAATCTGCAGTGGTCATTTTCTGATCAATCTCAATACTTTCCGTCTGTTATAGGCCAATATAACAGCAGTAAAAGTAAAAATTGTTAATTTAAATAAAGTTTAAATGCTTTAAAATAATGTAAATTCATTTACTATTTTATTCACCTGCATATTTTTGAATTTTTATCAAACTGTTGTAAGATAATCCTTTTATTCATCTTGTATAATTCCATTCAACGCCAACGTATCAAGGTATGTTTTACGAAGGTTTTCGCAGATAAATCATCCTTCGTTTCCATTCAGCTTTGCACAGAATCTAAGAAAAGATATCATTTATCCTTCTTACGACTCAATAAATCCTTTAAGGAACTACTAAAGATTAGGAGATAATCTCAACTTCTGTATGGTTATAATATAAAAATCCGACCCATCTTTCCTCTTTTCCTTTAGAATTCTAACTTTAGATAGTTTCTGGTGATTTTTTAAAATAATTTCTGCATTTTTGTATCATTTAAAATGAAAAAAAAATCCTAAAATTTTTATTTAGAATTTGCACAATAAGCAACAGAAATTGTTGTTATTCTAAGATGAGAAATCCTGCATCCTGAATTATCTTCATAAATTATTTATGATTAGTAATTTAACAATGAAAGGATATCGTCGAATTTTTTTTTGCAAATTATTAAATACTTTATCATAATATAAAATTTTTTTACATCGTAATTTCAAAAATTTACTTTCTAAATTTTTTTGCATATACTTATCGTTCTAAAATCTTCAGGATTTATAACTTCTGTAAACTTCTACAAAAAAGAAACTTAAATCTATTACTAAATTCTTTTAGTTATTGACTGGTGATCATCTCTTGATCATCATATGACTACTAATGTGATCATGTGATAAGATATGATCACATTAAGTACTGTTATATATAAAATTCTCATCTATTTAAGAAAAACATCTAAATTTAAAAAAAAATTAAGTTATTTAATAAATTGGAAACTATATTTGTATATTGTTTAAATGTCTAATCACGTTAATAAATTCCTTCTGTAGATGATGATGATAATAAGGAGAAGAAGGAGGAATGAATAAATAAATTATGAAGAGATGATCAAATTATAGTTGCAAAATCTTTTAAAAAGAAAAGCTTGAATTCTACTACTAATAAATTTCCTAATTAATTGATCGATGAATCAATAAATTCATTCATTAACGATGAATAATAAAAGAATTATTAAAAGATGAGCACACAAGTACTTTACTTTCCTATAGGCTATATAAAACTCTATGTTAACTAAGATGAAACTGAAATATTTTTTTTAAAAATCGACTTGTCTTGAAAATTATACTTATAAAGCAATTTTTACATTCGATTATTTTTCAAAATCTACATAATTGCCATTATTTTAAATAAAGGAAAGCTCATTATTTCAAATCATACACTTATATTGAAAAGAGAAAATTTGCAATTGTTCTTTATTACTAATTGTTAAGATGGTTCGTTTGAAGAAGAAAGTTTAAAATTTAATTAGATTGANTTAAATAAATTTAAATTTATTAGTTAATTTTCATCATTATTCTATCATTTATAATTAGATATTACCTGTATTAAAAGAGGTTTAAATAAGATTTATGACTTTATTGTAGATTGCGATTTACCAATAAGAAAGGCTTCTAATAAATTATTTCTATACTTAATTTATTAACTTTTAGAAATAGTTTTATAAATATCATATTTTAAAGTCGAGTATTCCCTTTTTAGGCATGGTAAAGTAGATAAGTCGTGATCTAGTTGAAATGCTTCATTAGCAACATTAAAAAAAATGCTTATAACAAATTATATATGATATTTTTTTTATGTAAAAATATATTTATTTAGCGTCATTAGCTTTATTTTTAGTACTTTTGATCAATTTTTAATTGCATGTTTATTGTTTAAGCGTATAAAATACTATAAACAGAGTGCGAGATTGCTGTTGATCGCGATCTATCGATTGAGAAGCTGCATTTAATTCATCTTTCCATAACAGAAAAGTTGATGAGAATTTTAACACCGATGCATGGTTTATCAAGAATATAAAATACCTTAATTAGAATAAAATTCGCTTCATTATCGAGCAGTAAAAAAATAAAATAAAAAGGAAAAAATTATTCTAAATTTCCTAAACTTTAAAACAACGTTTTAATCCTTTGTACATTTTAAAATCCAATAGAAAAACACGTTGAAGTAAACTAGAAAATAAAGAAATTCTATACTTTAACAAATATTTTTTCTTCTGTAAATATGTCATCTCAAAAGTCAAAAGAATAAGATAATTTCTTTAGATTATATTCTATCTACTTTCAAATGAAGATTTTTATCTATAAATAGATTAAACGAGTTTTAAAAAGCAGTATAAAAGCCATAAATTCAACCTTAAATCACTTTTAAAATAGTCAAAATATAAACTATATTAAAGATTTTTAACCTGATAAATTAATAGTATATCTTTTTAAAACTTTAAATATTTAAATTTAAAATGTTTATAAATAATTAATTTATTATTATTTATAACTTAAAATAATTATTATATAAATTATTTATGATCAATCAACATATTAAAAAAGCGGAAAGTATAAAATAAACCAATAATAAAATTGACCAATAAGATGAGGATAAAAATAATTTAAATCAATCAATCGATGTTGATTGGTTAAATTTTTTTTTTTTGATCAATTTAGAGTTAAACTTCATTTTTAATTTGAAATTGAATTAACCAATAGGATAAGATCAAAAGATTTTTAACGTTTAAAACTCGAACGTTGATTGGTTATTTATTTATTAATTGACAATTCACGCATTTTGCTATTAGTATATGGTAATCTAAATGGGAGTGTTTCTGTTGAATTTTATAACTTATATGTGCATATTAATGAAACACAAATTAATTAATTTTGAAGAGTTAATACTAAAGGGATTATATATTAAATTGTTTACCCGAATNAAATTATGTTACCTAATAACTGTTTTTCATTATTATTAACACATATTTATAATTATAACATCTATATATTATAATTAGTAACAAATCTTTGAAATTAAATTGACTATAACCAATCTACCAAGCTTTGTAATTAGAGTTTTATCGTTACTATACATTAGAAAAATACTTAAAACAGTATTTAATTATGGTTTGTTCGTATTCATTTTTACTACATAAGTACAGTACATAATTTCTTAATGTTTTCACTAATGGCTCTAATTAACTCACCAATTTACTATTTACTAAATTATTAATATTACTCCAACATTAGTTACAATATTTTAACAAGTAATAATAAATTATATTCTATGTATGTGTATGAGTAAGCTTTTAGTTTATTTAATTAAAAATTACATAAATTTTTTTTAAATTATGAGAAACTCTTATTTTATGAGATTTTTAATTATGTCATTGTATTTATATGTATCGATAAGTGTAGAATATTCAAATCAATTTCTAGGAAATACGGTGTGTAGTTTATAGACATTAATTTCAACAACTTAAATAGGAACTATCCTTTTTTCTATAGTATATCATACTAGGAGCTGTGTGGTTCCTAAACATTAATTTCAACATTCTGTTCTTAGACACTATCCTATTGTGAAAACATAAACTATGTGGTTTCTATATACAATTTCAACATTCTATCCAGGATTCTCTTGTTCCTAAACAACATCCTAGTAGAAATATTATGGTTTCTACATGTAATTTCAATATTATATAAAATACTCTCTTGTTCCTAGATAATATTTTAGCAGGAACAATGTAATTCCTGTATATATTTCAATGTCCTGTCTTGGAATTGATTAATATCTAGAAAGTATACAAACAAAAAACAACAGAAACAATTAGTATATACTGTACTTGCTATATTTTTAAGCAATAATTTAATGCTGTATGTTCCAGTGTTTAGAAATTAGAATACTGTACTTATAACAAAGAGAAGTATTTTGTTTTCAATTTCTAAAGTTGAAACCAAATATTTTTTGTAGGTATATTCATTAGATTGTTATTTTCGTCAAACATGGTGGGATAAGCGCCTTACTTACTCAAATGAAACTTTCACCGTCCTTTCAATGGATTGGAAATTCCTACAGAAAGTATGGACTCCAGATACTTTCTTCCTTAATGGGAAAGGATCCTATTTACATAAAGTATCCGCTCCTAACAAGTTCATAAGAATTGCCTCCGATGGAAAAATGCAATATTCTATGAGGTAATAAAGTTTGTTATTGCATTTACAGTTTAAAACTAATTAATATATTGTTAAAATATGAAATATCTCTATTTTTGTATCTTGTAAATGATAATTATGTTGTAATATAGCCCTATTAATAATATTTACCTGTAGATTTTTAATGAGTAGTAGAATATTTTTAGTTAATAACGGGTTATTTGGTTTTACCGGAAGTTTTTGAGTAGTAGTAGACTGTTGGAGTTAGCAGTAGATTATGGAATTTAGTTAAATATTATGGGAGTTAGCCATAGTTTTGGGATTTAGAAGTAGGTTGTATGATTTAGCAGTAGTTGTGGGAGTTCTCAGTAGGTAGTGGGCGTTAGTAATGGGCTAATAGGTTGTTGAGGTTAGTAACAGACTGTTGGAATTAGTGATGTAGGTTGGAATTAGTGTTAGATTATTGAGGTTAGTAATACTACATCAAAATTAGTAGATTCTAGAAGTAGAATAGGCTATTGCATTAAACAGGTTTAATAAGCTATTAGACTTAGTAACGGGATTTTGAAATTAACAGTGGTTCATTGGAATTAATGGTAAATTATTGAAGTTGATGATAAGTTATTGAAGTTAGTAATATGATATTGGAATTAGTACTAGATCTTTATTAGTATTAATAAATAAATATAAAAGTTTGCAACAAGCGATTATATAAATAAACTTTTGAAGTTATCTAATGTTTTTCTTGAACAGATTAACAGTTAAAGCGAGCTGTCCAATGCATCTGAGAAAATATCCTTTGGATATTCAAGCATGCCCACTAGAAATTGGTAGTTGTGAGTGTAAACACTTTTAAATTAAATTATATTTATAGCCTTATATATATATATATATATATGTCGTGACAATATTTTTCGAAATGAAAACTTAGTGTTTGACATGAAAACAGGTTATGTAAACACAACTAAGTAACTTTTAAATTCACTTTAACAGGGCTGACAGCATTTCATTACATTACACTTCAATTACATAATGGTACATCGCGTTATCATCATCCTATCGAATAACACACTCTTCTGCCTGCCAGCATGGAGCATGCTCTATCTACAAACCTACCACCACGTGTAGTAGTTATTCTAGAATTCATTTTAACTGAGATACTGTCCGATGGGCACAACTGTCACTTCAACTTGTGACTTCATACCAACTACAAATGTTTATATTATTTATCTTTCAGATATTTTTCTGTCGTTCCTATTGGAAATATGACTTGTATATCTTCAATATTATTTTTTCTAATCTTTATATTTCCCACGTGAGTATATTTTTATNGCATGCGTTAATTTAACGGATCGTTACTACACGCGCAAAGCCAACAAAGCCAATGCTTCGAAGAGTGTAGAAAACGACGAAGAAGCCGAAAACAAAGTATGTTTAAAAAAAGAAAAAACAAAGAAATTATTTAATTTTTTAGAAGTAAAAATGTATTTTTAAACTGTACAAAATAAAATTTTCAGGAAAAAGAAAGTGATAAAGATATTAAAGAAGAAGAAACTATAGAATTAAATATAGAAGAAGTGCTTTATAACGTAGTGAAGTGTTATAGATAGATGAAAAGTTAGGTGTGTTAAGGTGTATAGATTAGTGCTATAAACATTACGATGATTATTTATAATGCTTACAACACTAATTTAATTTAATTAATGCTAATTTCATACTAATAATACTAATACAAATGCATATTGTAACACCAATTTATATTGGTTGTAATTCTAATTAACACTAGATTGTATAATAATACATACTTATATTACAACACTATAGACTAATGTACTAACATTAACGCAGTATTAGTCTGTAAATTTATCTAAAAATCTCTTACTATATTACATTAAACGCATTTTTGTAAACGTTAGAAGTATTCACAGAGATATTTTCTATCTTGTAATGCTTGTAACAGTTGTAGTAACGTACTGTACTTAATATAATGTTACATGTGTTATAAATTCTAAAAAGACATTTTTGTACCCATGTAATGCTTGTAACGATTGTATTGTTACAAGTAAAGTATGACACATGTTACAAGTATTATAACTATGGTTTAAATCCTTGTAAAGTTAGCTATATACTTGTAATACTCTTCTTGTAATGCACGAAACTATCAAATACAATAAAAACTAAATAAATAAACAAAAATTTAGTTATAAAATTATCAAAATTTTTAAAAATTTCTAANAATATTTAATTGCCGGTATTATAAAAGTCTCGACCTTAAATAAAGTTCAGGAAGTTATTTTCGTATAAATATAAAGTTTCTAACTTTATATTCTCATTAAAATAAGTATTTATGGAGTGTTAATTTAAGTTTTTCATGTATAAGTAAAGAAGAGATTATACAATTTTTTTCTTTTAATTTAAAACTTAAATGACATTAAAATCTATATTTTTATAGTTTTTATAAATAAAACTCATTTTATAAATTATATTTATACAGTTACAGTGTTCTTAACACGTGAAAATAACTGTTTAAACATAGTTACAAGGAGATATAATTTGAGAATTTTATGTAAAATTAGCGTAAATTTATGAAGAAAATTTCATGAAATTTTTAATATTTTATTTACTTAAAGGTTAAATATTAGTAGAAATTTATAATTTTTGCAATTTTCTCGTATGTAAATACACGTTTTTTTTTTCTTTCTTTTTTTCGTTTTTAAGAAGTTGTAATTCAAATATAAACTTCCATACTTTCAATCATCTTTTGGAAATATATTTAATAGAAAAATCTGATAAATAGTATTAAATTTCATTGGTAACAAATTTCAAATCAAAGATTTAACAGAAATGAAGAATGATTATTTATTTGCTTTACGTTATTTAATCAAACATGGATCGGGTTGTGAACATCATCATTAGATTAACACATGTTGGATCGATATTTTCTTCCTTTAATCCCAACAAGTTGCTGGAATTTTCTACACGCATTCAATTTTTCAATNATAATTAATTAATATTTTGATAAATTTAATCGAAAAGAAATTATTATAATTACAATTTTTTTGTCATTTTTTTCATTTTTTTTAAGAAGTTAAAAATATATCGATCCAGTTAAAAATCCTCATTTATTTTTAGTTCATCAACATTTTAAGAGGATATGGAAGCGATCAACGTCAAAACTCGACACGAAAAGATCGAGTAGACTTTTCAACTCATTCACTATCTTCATAATTAATAAGATAGAACCAAGTTGGGCGGTAATATAACATCTGACCTCGTAGTCCCAATGGCTCTTTAACCTTTAAAGAGCAAGGGGAAAAAAATAAGAAAATAACATTCATCTGAATAACTTATATCCAAAGACACTTTTGAATATTCCAATACATGATTAATTTAAAGCAACTTAAAGTTCGATTTTTTCTTTTTTTTTTATAGAATGATTGAGTACTTTTTTGGATTGGTTAATATATTTAATCAATTCTAAAAGTGTTCTTTACTTTTTATTACCATTTTTTTCTTACTTTAATGTGATTACTATCGAGATTAGAACCATACTTTATAATGTAACTATCGTAATCAACAGATAGTAAATTGTTGCTTAATTTTATTAATTTTTTTTACAGGTTAAATTATATTTAACTTATTAATTATTAATTAATTAGCTTATTTTCTTACTTATAGTTGCTTATACTACAAGGGATGTTATTTACGAATGGAAGAAAACGAAGAAAAAAGCTGTGATCTTAGCTGATGATGTTACTTCATCTCAGTATGATTTTTTGAATATATCCATGTCGAATTTTACTATTATAGGACCTGCTGGAGGTAAAATATTAATTTTATATACTAAGTTAGTTATTAAATAATTTAAATAATCCTGTTATTTAGGTCTCAGCTCTGCTTTAAAAGTTCGATTTATGCTTAGAAGAAGACGTGGATATTTTATCTTGCAAATATATGCACCAAGTGCTATGATAGTTGGAGCTTCTTGGGTATCTTTTTGGATTAATCCTACGGATGCTGCAGGAAGAGTTGCCGTTGGTAAAATCATGCATTATATACATACTTCTTTATTAATTTTTGGTGAATTAATTTTAAAAATAGAGCAATAAATTGAATGTTTTTTTAATAAAACACTTCAGAATCTTAATTTTCTCTTATTTAACTCTTAAAAAATGCATGTAAAGTATACACACTTACATAACAAAAACATGTAAAACTGTTCATTTTTTTGGTAAAATTATACAATTTTCAGTTAATTTTTTATCTGTTTTTATACGAAAAATAACAGATTTAACAAGAACCTCAGATTTAATTATGATTCTATTCAACTATCAATTAAATCTAATTTGTACTATTTAACATACCTTTACACAATTAGTAGATAAACAGTTCTAGTTGTTTAACAAATATTTACATTAAAATTTACACAAAGTGAAGTACAAACTTCATAATTACACGTTTAGTTTCATTGTAACATTATTTATCGTTCAATTCTTAAGTTAATTTACCATTTATTTCTATTACAAAGAATATTAAGGGGGAAGAAACTTACAAATGAAAAATAATCTGTTTTACTGATATATTTTGATGAGAAATAACGCATTTTATTTGCCAATTTTCATAAAAAAGAACTGATTTTAATGAGAAATATCTCATTGAACTGACTCGTTTTGATGAAAAACAGACCATTTTTCTAATGAAGAAGCTGAAGAACAACTTATGATGAGAAATAACCCATTTTACTGATTTATTTTAATGACAAATAACATATTTTTTTTTGCTCACTGTGACTAGAAATTTTCCATTTTGCTGTACTATTTTTTTTCTGACGAAATTTTGATATGAAACATCATATTTTGTTTAGAAATAAACCTATTCTGATGCTACATAACACATTTTAATTAGAAACAATCCAATTATAACTTATTTTTCTTACTTTTTTTACAGGTGCAATGACCGTGCTGACTCTAGTAACTATGGGTTTTGGTGGCAAAAGCGCATTGCCACGTGTGGCATACGCCACAGCAATGGATTGGTTTGTAGTCATGTGCTTCACCTTCGTGTTCGCAGCTATGGTAGAGTATGCATGCGTTAATTTAACGGATCGTTACTACACGCGCAAAGCCAACAAAGCCAATGCTTCGAAGAGTGTAGAAAACGACGAAGAAGCCGAAAACAAAGTATGTTTAAAAAAGAAAAAACAAAGAAATTATTTAATTTTTTAGAAGTAAAAATGTATTTTTAAACTGTACAAAATAAAATTTTCAGGAAAAAGAAAGTGATAAAGATATTAAAGAAGAAGAAACTATAGAATTAAATATAGAAGAAGAGGAAAAGGAAACAAGACATGTGTTGCTACCTAAATGGAGAAAAAGGAAAAAATCAAAGAAAAGAAAAATCGAAAACTATAGAGTCATACCACAATCTGTGATTCAATCGCCATCAACAGCTGCCTATCGGATCGACAGATACGCTAGAATCGCCTTCCCTTCATTTTTTACCTTTTTCAACGTGATATATTGGACGTTATATCTTCATTTTATAGACGATCAAATCGAAGACGACTAAAAATAAAATCCTCATTAGTTAATTAAATTTAAAAATTATTTAAATAATTAATCATTCGAGCCTTACTTTAAACACATTCACCAATATTGGTTCTATTAAATTCTATTTTTTTTTTACATGAAAATTCTTTTTAAAAAAATCTAAAAATTTTTCACCGTGATAAACGTTTAATTAATGAATTTTTTAAAAGAAATTTATTCAAATAAAATAAATATTATATACACTAAATCGCGAAACACTTCGAATAATTTAAGGAATGTTTTTTTAGAAAAATTGAGTTAATTTAAAAAAAAAATATTTTATATTTTTCCCTAAGCGAATATTAAAATTATATATATATTATAGCTATAAAATTTAAAAATATAAATTTAATGTATATGTGTGTGTGTATATATATAAATATATATCAATAAATTAGGGACCAATATACCTTTAAAAATAACACGAATATATTGAAATTTAAAGCAAGACAATCGCTACTAAAGCCTTATAGAATTTAAAAATAATTAAAATTAAATATGCAATTTTAGAATGTTAATAATTGTTTACACTTAGAACTATATATATATATATATATATATATGCAGGAAGTAACTTAGTTCGAAATGAAGCATAAAAAGTACATAGATTTATGTTAAATTATGAAATTTTCCTAAGAAAAATGTTTCTGTTGTGAATTATGCATATATCAGTCTATTCTGAAATGTATGCAAAATTGTTCATTTGATTGGCTACTAGTAATTCTAATATTTTGAAATTGAGACAGCTGATTGGTTTAATTGGAAAACGTAATAATATAAATTTACGAAGCTGAGATTGGTCGAATCTTTTCATCCAAATACACAATCGATATTTCCGAAAGTTTACGATTACTTTTAAACGTCCACCAATCAGAAACGACGACGTTTATCACTTATTAAACGTTGTTTTAATTATAATTAACTTATAAAGAAATTAATATTAACAAATATCTGTGCACACTTCAAAGATAAATTATGTTATATCCTGTATATAGTATCTTTATTGTACTGTACAGTATTTGTATATAGGAAAAAAAAATAAATGGAAGATTTATTCCATCATTTTTCTGCAGCTAGTTGAACTTTGACAATGTATCCGACACGATGCCAATTCATCAATCATCTGAAAGCAATAATACAATTAATCTAATGTTATTTATTAATAATAAATTATGTTATATTTTACTATTATATACCTATTATGTGCCTATTGTTAAGTAGATTATTATGTTTAATTACTTTTAAATAAAAACTATTTTAGTACGTTTGTGTGGAATTATTTTAAATTAATATTTTAAGAATTTAATAAATATAATTTTCGAACAAAAATTTTTTATATTACATTTTTTTTTAAAGTACTTATATAAAATAATGTTTTTTCTTTCAATCGCCAGATGGCGCACCACTCTTTGTGGGCTTAACATGCGATCAATAAGTAATAATTTTATTGATGTTAAAATAAAATAAAATAAAATATTTTCGTAATTTCATCCCAAAAATTATTTATTAAATTTCTTTAATTTTTTAAAACAAAAATAAAATAATAATCGTTATTAATTAATTTAAAAAAGTATTTTTTTCAATATTTTTTTTACAGCAAAACGTGTAATTTTAACAGTAAAAAAGCGTATTGTAATAATCACTTAAAAATTAAATTTATGTTAAATTTTTTATTATTTTAAAAAATTATGCAAAATAAAATTATAAATTTTTCCATGAAATATAATTTTGTATCGTTATTACACTC